GTATTATATCTAAGAAATCTTTGCCTAACCCTAGGTCACAAAGAACTTTCCCTATATTTTCTCTGGAAGTTGTATAGTTTTTGGGTTTTATTTGAGGCCTGATAATCCATTTTGAACTTTTGAATATGGTGTGAAGTATGGATGAAGGATTTTGTTTTATTTTACATATGGACATTCAGCTTATTACTCAGAAAAAATTGTCATTTCTCTTAGGTAATCTCCACTCTTCATTTTAAATCAGTAATTTATTTTGAAATTTATTTTCTAGATTAATTTTGGGTTAAGAATTTTATTAGGGATTCAGTAGGGGGAGTTCTTGTATTTCCACAGCAGCATGAAGGAACTGGCTGCCTCTCAGTGCCTCACCTGCTGCAATGGGCCTAATCGCAGCTGACCCCATTACCTTTCAGCCGGTTATTTCACTGTCAGCATCACCGATACTCTGATATCAGAGATCATGGACATTGAAGTGATTTTATTTAAGCTAAAAATCAGATCTGTCTCGGGCTGTTTTATTTTGTAGAAGTCAGTACATCTCAATTTTAAATAATAATCCATTCCAGAACTGTTATTTCAACTAGATCAGGTTAAGAAGCAAACTCTACTTGGCAGTGTTTCCCTTTCTCTTTGTTAAAAACCTGATACAGGAACAAATCTTGATTTTTCAGCTCCTAAATGACTATTGTAGAGGAAAAAGGTGTTTAAAATTTTTATTTTTTATGTATGCCACACATTATTTTCCTAGTCACATAAATAACATAAGTTAATTGTATGAAATTTGGAAAGGCAATAAAATAATTTTTAAATGACCCATAAGTCCACTACCCACAGTTTTTTGCTCTTTAATATACATGCTTTGGGGCTTTATCTTTTATGTACTAGAGATCATACCACATTTACAGTTTTATTTCCTGGTTTTTTTTCATTTGCCATTCTCAAAAGCATAATTCATAATGGTATCATTATATAAGTATTTGAATAAATGTAGCATCATTTATTTAACCATTTTCCCAATACTAGACATATATATTGCTTCTGATTAGCTATCTCTATTACTGTGGGGAACATTTGTGCTTGAATTTTATCCCATTATGATTATTCCTAAAAATAACATGAATCAAAATCCATTTAAAGATATTGTAGCACTTTATAATTCCACCAAGTATGTGAGAATGCCCCTTTACAAATTTTTTATCTCCCTCTATCAAAAAAGATTCTTGCTATATCTGTACAGAAAGCTACTACTTTTTAAATGAGTTGCTGTGCACAATCTAGATTTTTTAAGTAACTTTTCTATTAATTTGTTACAGTTCAGAAAAATTGCACAGTGTGAATAATTCAACAAGCATTTGTTCTTGCCTGTGTGGGGTCATAGATATACACTCAACAGATATACACTGAGAATATGTCAGACTATATCAGCCTCTGGGGGTGAAGTAATGAACATAGCAATGTGATCCCTGCTCTTACAGAATGTAGGGTCTAAAAAGGGACATGCAATGAAGCAGATGGCAAGTAAACCCCATCCATTCAGGTGATGGTATATGGAGGGAAGCAGGACTCTGTGTGAGTGGGGAGTCACTGAGGTGAGATATCCCAGGGGTTCAGGAAAGGACCTGTGTAGGCTGAGACTGGAATAATGGGGAGGATGTGAGAGTTTGACTGACAGACTGAAGGGCTCAGACACAGACCTGGGTTCCTGAATGTCGGCAAGAAAACATGCATCGGCACACTGTCTCACTTGTATTTTCAATGCTACACCTTACTTCGGGCCAGCTGCCTGGTCTTCTTTTCAAAGCAAAGGCTCACTTATAGATTTCATCAGCATCAAGTGAGGACACAGCTTTCTCCATACTCCATTCATGTCTCTTCCAGTCATCCTGAGGAAGATCAGATGTTTCTTCCTTTCTTTTCACTCCAGTATTGAGAATTGGAGTTGTGGCCTTTCTACTGGTTTCCCCCCATGTATATTCACAGATTCACTGCAAATTTTCTTAGTTCTTTTTTATTTTTGTTTAGTTGTTTTGTTCCTCCCTTTGGAGGACAATGAGAATGAATGAGGGAGAGCTTATCAAAGTGAATGCATCCTTGTTGTGGAAAATAGGAAAAATACAGAAACATTAAAAAAAATAGATGCAATGCTGATTGAAATTCCAACAACATATTTCACAGAATTAGAGAAAATAATCCAAAAATTCATTTGGAACCAGAAGAGACCTAGAATAGCAAAAGCAATTTTAGGCAACAGAGATATGGCTGGGGGTATTACAATCCCCAACTTGAAACTATACTACAAAACTACTGTGATAAAAACAGCATGGTACTGGCAAAGAAACAGACCCGAGGATCAGTGGAAATGGATTAGAAGATGCAGAAACAACTACAGATATGCTCAGCCACCTCATCTTTTTTGTTTGTTTGTTTGTTTGGGGGGTTTTTTGGGGGGTTTTTTTTGGGTACTGGGGATCGAACTCGGGTCCTTGTGCTTGTGGAGCAGACGGCAAAACCACTGAGCTAAAGCCCACCACCTCATCTTTGACAAAGGAGCCAACCACCCTCATTGGAGGAAAGATAGCCTATTTAATAAATGGTGTTGGAAAAACTGGATTTCTACCTGC